AAGTCTAGTGTTCATAAATATATGCCAATCATTTTGTAAAGCTGCTTTCTAAGTTGGTAGTTTAAGCAAAACCTTACAGCTCCATGACAATAGGTGTATAGTCTATCTGCATTGTTAGGAACAATAAAGTGGCATCAGCTTTACAAGAAAAATACACGACTGTTCAGGTCACACCTCTGCCCAGCTTGGATTTGTGCAATGTGCACATCAGTTGCCTGCTGGTTGTCCTTACTTAAGAAAATTAAGATATTTGGGTAGTTTTTGTGTTTCCTTTTTAACCTCCACCTGCAATATTTAGTTAAAATGTTCAAGCATTTGACTGTGTCCCTTAAAAACACCTGTGCAGTGGTTTAAAGTAAGGACTTCAAAGTTTCCATTCCTTCTAACCATTTTTGGGTAGGTTTCTAAAGTTGTGTGGTTGGGAACACAGCTAGAGCTGCTTTGTAAATGTCAGTAAAAGAGCAAGAACTAAATGAATGCATACCTTTTGTCCAGTTCATCTTGATGTTACACAGTCTGCCAGAAATCAGAAGTATTTATAAAAAGATTTAGAAGGGAAAAATATAAATGAGTGCATGTGTAAAAAAATCTAAAACATCGGTCTGGGGATAGAGTATAATACTGAAATAGAGAGTGGCCTCAACTATGAACTGGACTTGAACTTGTGTTATAAAAATGATTAATTACTTGGGCTTTCTGTAGGCAGAGATGTTGGGGAAATTCAAGAGTGTTAACAAATAGCAGCAGAAATGATATAGTGGCTTGAAAGAGAATGTCAAGACAACAGTTTCCGTATAGATTATTCTAAGCTATTATACTAAACAGGGACACTATGCAAGACAACCCAGGAAGACACTCTCAGTCTAGAGATTAAGTTACTTTGTCATGGAATCCATGTGTTTGTCTGTGTGTTGGCACTTGCAGCTTTAGAACCCTTTGGCTAATTTATCTCATTGGACCGAAAGACAGAAAATAAATATTTTGTGAAAATACACTTCTGAGAGGGGCTAAAGATTGATTCAAGTGTCCTGAGATGAAGGCTTCAGCATGAATGCCTCTGTAATTCTCATTTACCACCTACTTAGCAAAAACTTTGCTTAGAGCACACATCTCCTTTATGTATCCTGTCCAACAGTAGGGGAGAAAAATGTACAAAACTCTGAGTTCTGGTTCTCACAGAAGTGTGTTTTATTTCTGATCCCTGTGACTGTCTAAAAAAGCGGTGGTTTTCTTTTTCAGTCACTACAATGAACATTTTATCAGGAAAATGTGAATGGTGCCTAAGCATCCCTAAACGTGGCAGTCAGTACAGTTTGAAGGCAGGTTTGAGGACTGGAATTTGCATTGCTGAGGCAGGAGGATAGTTCTGTATCCCACTGTCATGTTTTTTCAGTTAAAGCTTTTGCAAAACATCTAGCTGGTTTGTTCTTGGGCTGTGGTTTTGGTGGGTTTTTTTGGTTGGTTGGTTGGTTGGTTTTGCATGCACAGTAAGGAATAGCAAATGTCTTATGAGGAAAAGCACAATCCAAACCAAAGTAGCGTAACCATGGGTTTGGGATGGAAAAGAAGGAAAAAGGCAGAGCGCCTACTGCGGAGCATGAGCAGAGCTGTGGGTGCAGTCCTAAGGAGCAGTGTGGTTGAGATTTCAGAAGCAGTGAGAACAGCATCCTTTGCTTTGCTGTCAGCAT